CCACTTGAAAATTCTTCTGCTCGCTTGGAGAGCTAGTGCTGAAGCCTGAGGAAACCACTGGAAAGCATGTGCTGAGGGCTTCATCACACGGCTGGGCTGTCTTGCCTTCATGGAATGAAAGGAGCTCAGGACCCCAGAGAGCTCAGGACCTGGTCACTCCAATCATACTTTGAGATGGAGATGATGTGGACTGGAGCAGAGTTGGGGAATCCAGTCCACAGGTGCCCTTAAAGCAGGGGGCAGCCCTGGGGGTCAGTTCGCTCTGGTCTGAAAGGGTCGCTGAAAGCCAATAAGCTGCAATTTTACTGCGCCCCCCCCCCCCGCCCTTTTTTTTTTCACAACACCAAGAAACTAGAAAAAACTGGGAGTCAATCCATATGCATTTCTATTTAACCCGCCAGCAATCTTCTGCCTAGCTTTACACAAGAAGCTATCTTCGTTGTAATCAGGAATGATAATTTTAGCAATGATTGGTAGCAAAGCCATGCTAATTATTTCAAAACAAAACCCACATTTTTCAGATTTTCCTCTTCTTATTCAGCAACCTCTTCTAAAAAGAATCATAGAGTCGAATAACATTGGTTGGTTCTTTCTCATTTTCCAGGCCTCTGTTGGAGGGGCCTAGGAGGGATCAGCCGCGGGGCCTTTTCTGATCACTGGATAGCCCCTCCCTAGGTCAGCTGATCCAGCACTCTGGCTTTCTGTATCATCCCCTGCTGGTTACTCTTAAATAAATGCCTCTCTCCAGATCCAGACTTCCAAGTGCCACTGACATCCATCACCTCGTGCATGTCCAATAAGTAAGTCTGCCCTCCCCGATCACTTGCCCTCCCTTTCTCAAAGCTTCTCCTCTCTCTCATCTTCTTCATTGCCTCCATAAATCAGAGCTCTGTATTTCCAGCTGTTCAGGCCTCAAGCCTTGAATTCATCCCACATTCCTCTTTCTCCTTCACTTCATAGATAAACCATCAGTGTATCTTACTTGTTCTATTTCCAAAATATATTCAGAATCCTCTCACCTCCTCTTTCTACCATCCGAGAGCCAGACATCATTATCCTGCTTCTGGAGTATGCCAAGAGCCTCAGAGCTCACTTCCTAAAGTCTATAGGGATCTTTTTGCAACTTGAGTCAGATCGGGTCAGACCACCTCACTGGTTCTGGCCCTGCCCTTCTCCCTCGGCCCAGCCAGCCTGCCCTTACCCCCTGGTTCTGCTCCAGCTGCTCTGGCCTCTTCCTCAAACAAGGCAAACACTTTCCAGACTCAGCAGATATCTTTGGGGCTTGATCCTTTCACTTTCTTTCTTAAAGTCTTCACTGAAATATCACCTTACCAGAGAGGTCTCCTAGGGCCGTTCCTTTTAAAACAGCACCCACGCTCTCCAGTGTTCTCTAGTTCCTTATCCTGCTTTGTTTTTTTTTTTCATCACACGGATCACCCCTCGGCATTTTACCTGTTGGTTTGTTTGTTTATTGTTTGTCAGTTGCTTGCCCCCCCCCCCCACCTCCACCCCTCAGGATATAAACTCAGTGAGAGAAAGGTCTTTGCTGCTAAATCCCCAGAGCTTGGCACTTAGTAGGTGCTCAATAAGTGTGTTTTAAAAGGGGGACTGATAGGCTCTCAGGGTTCATTCAGTCCAAACATGTCAGTTGACACACGAAGATACCAAGGCCAGAGGACAACTGTCCAGAGGAGGCCACTTAGAAGATTAACGGCTCTGTTGAAACAAGGACCCAAGTGCCCTGACAACCAGCCAACTCTATTGAACTGAGGCCCGCGGCCAAGAGGCGTTCTTACGTTAACACCAACACACACATTTGTCCGTGTGTATTATCCACTAGTTAACTTTACTGTGTAATACACTCTGATGTTCATATTCCACTCTAACTCAATTTCATTTTGTGAAAAAAGCTGACCATACTCCATTAAATTAATTAACTTCAGGAGCTATTCATGGGTTGTGACCCAGAGTTTGCAAATAATATGCTATGCTACAGGGGAAGGAAAAAACAAACAAACTTTCTATACCTTTTTCCACTGTTATAGTACTAAAAGACATGGCTGATGCACAGACATATCTGTTTTAAAACGTTTAAAATGCCATAGGAAACAATCTACTGGAAGTAATTCCGTAGTAAAGGTAGCCATGAAAAGAAATAAAAGAAATCCCTAAGGTCTGGTTTCTTGGCTCTCCTATCTCATGTATATTAATCTCAAAATGTCATCTTATTCCTGATTCCATCCCTGTCTCCCTGTTTACAGTTCTGAATTTCATGCTATGCCGTGTCATATTCATTTTCTTGGTTTTGTGTCTTGTTTTCTGCACCAGCTCATGCTTATAAATTGCTGCTTTGTACTTGCAGTCAGAACAGTGCATTCCAAAAGGAGGCAGGCAGAATGGTGAGGGTTTTCACATAGCTGACTTTGTTTTGACAGTGATGGTATCTGACAGAGTGGGAACTGATTTCAGCCCGACCAAGTCACATTGTACACACCAACTATTTATTCATAGCCACCGGGGGCGGGAGATACACAGGAGTGTGGGGGCAAGAGACTGAGAAGCTGATCAAGCTGAGGATAGGGAATATGCAGTTATGCAAGGCATACAGGTCAAGGTCATGTTAAAAATCAAGTACCTAAAATACTGGCTCCAGAATAATAACCCTCTGGTCTAAATTTATCCCCCCTCCTCCAGCTCTCACCGGACTGACAGCAGCCAGTGTCACTGCTCAGGAAAAAGGCAGAATGGGGTCCAAATGTGTGTCTGAAAGAAATCTCAAATGAAAGATGGAGAAGATTTGACCTGATTCCTTCACATGCTGTGAAAGCTGCTCCATGTCATGGGATATTATTTCAGGAGAACATGGTTAGATACATTTAAGATAAAGTCACCACCTTCATTATTATCACTGTCATCACCCACGTGGCAAGGAATTTTATCGGGAGTGTGCCACCGGGTCCAAGCCGTTCAGACTCTTCTCACATTGTTGGGGAGAAAGACTGGGTGGCACCCGAGACCAGTGTCCTGGTTATTCTCCACATATCCCTCCTCCCCTTCTATTCCCTGCCCTGCTCTGTGCCCTCTGTTTCCTATAACTGTAACACTAATCTCCCAGTTCCTCTGGCTTCCTGTTGGGTTCAGCCAATGGGAGGCACTGGCAAAACATTCCAGGTTGACGCATTGCTTCCCTACTCCATTCCATCCCACCCACTTGACTACAGTTCCAGCAGTGGTCATGTCCTCTGCAGCTCTGGAAGGGGAAGCCCTTCTCTCATGGCTGAAGCTCTCAAGGCCTCCTGGCACACCATTTGTTCCCCGGGCCCTTCAGGTCTGGTCCTAGTTTCTCGCCATTCTGTGTTGGTTCCTTAACTCTAGCCATACTTTTGTAAACAGTTCCTTCATGAAGCTCTTATTCTTTCCCTCCCTCCAGTTAAACACTTTTGAGTATGCACCTGCTGCCTGATGGGACCCTGAATGATGGACTTGCTCTCACATCCATGGATGCTCTAGGCCTTGCTCATGCCCTGCACCTCACAGAGGTCCAGGAAGGCAGAACAATTTGCTGCCCTGAAATCTGACCTCTAGCCCTGGCATAGGCCCATGGCTTTCCCCCTCTATCCATTTAGATCCCGCTTTTTTTGGGTAACTGAATGCCAGCAGCTGGGTCGTTGAGGGAATCTCTTGAATTTGTTACATGACGTTGGGCAGGATCGGGTAGGGCTGAAGCTCATGGTGGTAACTCCAGGTTTTTCAGGCCTACTTCCTTTCCAAGGGCTCAGGAGAGGTGGAAATGTGCCAGTTCAAGCTAGCCCCCCAAGGGAAGTAGATTCTCAGGTCTGGGAAGAACGTTAAAGGTCATCTGGGCCAATCCACTCCCTCTGCAGCTGGGAAAGTAAGACCCAGGAAGAGGAGACTCCCTTGAGAGAGACAGCGTGAGAATCCAAAGCTCCTGAATATGTCATGAAATCTCAGCGCTGGAAGGAGCATTAAAGGTTGTACAGCCCTGCCACGATAAACAACAAAGTTCACGGCTCTGCCATTTATAAGGGGGGGACTGCCAAAGCCACAGTGGCCCCTGGCAACCTCCAAACCTAACCTAACCAAGGATGGTCCAGACAGCGCACCAGGGTGTGAGCATGTGGCGTGAGCAGACACCTGCCACCTCCCCTCTCCTAGCAGGGCAAACTCCCTGCCAGCCTACGGAGCAGCCGCTCAGGGTGTGGGCAGCACAACCTTCCCTGCTTCGTGTGAGTCGGCCAGTGCTGGCTAGGTTCCCTACCCAGGCTCACTTCCAGGTCTACACCTAAACTAGGTTTCCCAGCCCCTGGGGCTTAGATGGGGTCATGTAACCAATCCTTACCAACGGAAGCAAGTGAAAGGTGTGGGTCACTGCCAGTTGGTGGTGGCAAAGAAAAAGCTTCACTTTCTTTTCTGTCCGTGTGGCTGGAAGCGAAGGACTCCAAGACGGCAAAGTTACCAGAGGGGTCCAGCCAAGATGCCGATGTCTCTGGGAGACAGCTGTGTGAGAGTCCCGCCCCACCCGTGCCACCCACATCTTCCTGCAATGAGGGGGACGCAATAAGCTTTTGTCGTGCTGAACACTGAGATGAGAGGTGGAGGAGGGTGACCAGCAGCTAGTGCCAACAGTCCCGGCTAATACAGAAATCGAGTAACTTTCCTGGTAACCCACACACCCCTCAGTCCCTCAGGCTTGATCTTTCAGAGACAACTTCGAGCCTCCCTGTCTGCCCCTTCATGGAAGTCTCATTCCACAGTGTCTCCTTCCCACCTCTCCTCTCTTCCCTTCCCCTCTCTCCTGCTGCTACCACCTGGATGGCTCAAATGGCCTTCTAGAGGGTGGCTTGCTTCTCTTGGAAGCACCCTTCCACGCTGCCGGAACCATTTCTTTATGGTGCCCTCGGACCCTCTTCAGCCCTCCAACAACACACCTAGCGTTACCCTGAGAATTGCCTGGATCCCAACAGTCATCTCTGGGCCGCTTTTCTTAAAGCTGTTGGTGAATAGCAATATTCTCTTTGCAAATGCATGCAGAAATCTCCATTATGTCCTTTATTGTTTTAAAGGGACAATAATTTAAGAGCACTATTTACAAGTTTTTGATAACAACAACAATAATAGCAATGACAGAGATGATAACCCCGCCTTTTTTTTCCATTGTAGAAACTTCCAGCCATTCACCCTATCAATCCCTTAAAATAGTCCTTCCTATCTCCACTCTTCCCTTTTGGGACATGACCTGGGTTTCTGTGTCTAATCTCTAAGATCCTAGGGTGGTACCCACATAGAGATTTTTTTTTTTTCAATTGCTTCAGGCCATAGGGGAATTTTGTGCTGAGAAGACAATGCAATTTGTGCTTTTTCCCACCCTTCTGGAGGAAGAAACATTTCAGGGGGCACCACACCTAAACATCCTGGGCATTTCCAGCAAATCTCAGCAGATGATGAGATGTGGTGGGAAAAATATGGCAGTTGAAACCTATAATGCAGATTTTTTCCCCCAATCATTGTAGGTGTTCAATTAAGGTAGATTAACCTAGTCTTTTATTGGTTCCTCTTCACTTGCTCTTGAGTTGATCAAAGGGTAAAAAATCTTTAGTGAAATGATTGTATATGATTATTGGATGGTGACTTAGTGATGCTGGAGAGAGTGAATTGTTGACTGATTGAGTGAATGGATATTATAATCCACTAGCCTCACGGTCATGTGAGGGCCGTGGAAAGCAGGCTTGCCAGAGTCAAGAGACCTGGGCCTCGGCCTTAGCCCTGTTATGAGCTCAACCGTGTGATCATGAGCAAGTCACTAATGCAGACTGATAGTTGGTTTTATCACTTGTAAAATAAGGAAGTCGGACTAGACCAGTGCTTCTCACACTTCTGTGTGGACACAGATCACCCGGGATCTTGTTTTAAATGCAGGTCCTGACTCAGGAGGTCTGGGGTGAGGTCCAAGTTTCTTCATTTCTAACAAGCTCTTGGTGATGCTAGTTCTGGTCTGGGAGCCACACTTTGAGAAGCAGAGGTTTCAACAGGAAAGGTCCCTTTCCTAATGTTCAATGGCTCTGTTTTTGACACATTAGAATAATCAGTTTATTTGCTATTCAGCAGCTGAACTCCTTATAAAAGATACATTTGTTTGACCCATTGGTTTCTTCCCATATAATTCAGAATGAAATCCAAATTTTGCCATATGGGCCTATACAGCCCAATACGATCTGATTCCCCCCCTCCGTTACTTTCCTAACCCCATTTCCTACCACGTCTTCCCCTTGTTTATAGATATATTCCTGCCAAGGTGGCCTCTTTGCTGTTCCAGGCATGCTCTAGACTCAGAGCCTTTGCATGCGCTGTTCCCTCTACCTGAAATACCTGTTCCTTAGATATCTGTGTAATTTGGTCTTTGCTCAAATGTCTTGCCAGAAAGAACTTCCCTGATCACCCTATAAAAATTGTTCCCCATGGGGTGCCTGGGTGGCTCAGTTGGTTAAGCATCTGACTTTGGCTCAGGTTACGATCTCATGGTTCATGAGATCAAGCCCCAGATCGGGCTCACTGCTGTCAGTGAGGAGCCTGCTTTGGATCCTCTGCCCCCCCACCCCGTCCCTCCCCTGCTTGCACACTCTCTCTCTCAAAAATAAGTTAACATTAAAAAACATTGTTCTCCACTACCACCCTATCACTCTTTAATTCCTCATTTAATTTTCATTCATAGCAAATATTGCCATCTGGCATCTTGCACATAAGTTTTGCAGTTAGTAATTGTTTTATTTATTGGTGTGTTTGCTTTAATATTTGTGTGTTTACTAGACTCTATGTCTATTGTTTCTCTCCCCCACCAGAATGTAAGCTCCACAAGAGCAGGAATTTTATCTACTTTGTTCACTGCTTTCCCCTCAAGACCTGAACAGCACCCAACTATCGCTTGTTAAGCGAGTGAGTAAAGGAATAAATGAATAGAGAAAGTGAGATATGGATAGGCTATTAAAATTTTTTTAAGTTTATTTATTATGAGAGAGAGAAGAAGAGAGAGCATGAGTAGGGTAGGGGCAGAGAGAGAGGGAGAATTCCAAGCAGGCTCCACGTGCAGAGCCCAATGTGAGCTCAAACTCACAAACTGTGATATCATGACATGAGCCCAAATCAAGAGTCGAACGTTTAACCGACTGAACCACCCAGGCACCCCTGGATAGACCATTTTAAAAAAAAAGGGGGAGGGTCCTGGGGTCCTCGGCACTGACAGCACTGAGCCTGCTTAGGATTCTCTCCTCCCTCTCTCTCTGCCCCTCTCCCACTCATGTCTCTGTCAAAATAAATAAATAAACACACACACACACACACACACACACACACACACACACACACACACACGGTCCTCTGCTGTCATTTGACCCATCTGTACCCTCTCTGTTTCCAAGAAAATCTGTGAGTCTCCTAACTCCTAAAGACTGCCAGAAAAAAGAAGTCTGCAGGGAGAATGGCGTGGGGCTCACCCTAGCCACAGAGCAGTTCTGTACTTATGACTCACTTGACTTCCCTTTGCTACCACTGTCACCTGAGAGGTGTATATCTCCCTGGTTGGAGAGTGACTGCATCAGGTCACCATTCAGATCACTGAACTAACTCCCCTCACTCCATTCTAGGGCCATCATTGGCCTCTTGATTATGACTTGGCTTTGCAAGCAACCTCCCACAGTGAGAAAGAACAGGCTGGTCAGGCTGACCCAAATGCCCGCTTCACCAGGCGTTTATACATCTCATTATAAATTAATCATTTGGCATTCTGCTTTATCCCCTCCAGTCTCCTCTGAGTGAGTCAGCTTTCTGAGTCCCATTAACTTTGGGGCCCTGAGGAGATCAAGTTTCTGAACCTTCAAGGCCAGACCCTGGACAGCGGCTACGTCTACAATGTGACTACCCTCTGAAGGCAGTCAGCAGTTGGCCTGCTGGTCTTTCTTGGGCTCTCCCAGCATTACTGCAAGCTTTGTTTAGCATTTTCCCACAGACCCAGCAATTCCACCTAGAGAAGTTTGTACTAAGGAGAGAATTGGCTAAGTATGTAAAGACATATGCAGAAAGGTGCTCATGATTGAAGTCGTCTGCCCTCTTCCTCAGCTAAAGGTGGTGGTGGTAATTTTGTATCCCATGCAGACACAGATACAGATGCTCTGTATCCCCAGAGTGTGGGTGGGTGCTAGAGCCCCCCAGGCCCTGCCTCATATAGCACCTGGGAGTGGGGGGTGGAGTGGCAAATTAGCTGATAGTGGTGCCTCTTACTATAGTTGTGAGGGGAAACAGAGTAGCAATGGTTTAAGTAATCGGTACCCCAAAACCCAGAAGTGAATGAAGCTTTGGTCTCATTTAGTGACCAAGGAATTAGGGAGCCACATTTATTGCTGGGGCCAGGAGTGGAGTCCTGATCCCAGAGCAATGGCTGGCCTGGGTGGGCTGAGTCCTGGACCAGGAGGTGGCCCAGTCGTCTGTTCTGGCGATTGCTCTGGGCATTCCGGGGGCAGGTTTGCAAGTTGACCTAGAAGTCAGCCAACGTCAGATGGGCTCCAGTCTCCGGCCTCTCCTTGAGGCTTCCGTCTGGAGCATGCAGCTTCTCCAGCCAACCAAAGGCCCCTTATACTCCCTTTCTCAGGGAGCCTCCCCCGACCCCCTCATTCTCCGGGGAGCCTTAGCCCCACAATCACTCCTCTCACCACTTGAGAGGAAGCAAGCTACTTTTAGTCTCCAGAGATGATTCACCCTCCCAAGGGTGACCAACATGACCTCTCTCCCTGAAGCAGGAAATAACCCCCAAGTTAGCAAAAGCCTGGGAACAACTGATCCATCAGTCGGGGTCTGGCTCACTATGTTAAGGTTTATTCATAAAGCCATTAAAGTGAAAATACAGATCTATACTAAAAGTGAAAAAAAGAATGTGACAAAACTGCCCATTCTTTTACTCTGGTCCCAATTTTACAAAACTATGGATGTGCAAATATAAGCACATGTGCATGGAGAAATAAGTGAATGATACTCATCAAAATGCTAACAATGGTTATCTCTGGGTGGTGAGATTTCTGGTAAGTCTTTTTTATTCTTCTCTGTATTGCTTGACATTTTACAATGAGCATGTTTATTTTATAATTAGGAAAAAAGGACTTTCAGTTTGAAAGAAAAAGCTTCCATTCAATTTGGCATACTATAATGTTCAAAATGCCAGAGCAGTGGCCAGTATGAGGTACCCTGGAAACACAGAGTTGAGAGTGGCATTCACCCTGCCCGGTGTGTGCAGGACCAACATGCCCCGGTCAGATGACCTCTATGGTAGGTCTTCCTATTTCAAGAATCTATGGCTTGAAGACGCCAAACAGTATCTCTAGATCAAAACTATTTATAAGAATCATTTCCTTCATAATGAGTTGGAACTTCCACTAACTGCTTGTGTTTAGATGACATCATCTCTGAGATTTATGTGAAATGACTCCTTTTCCTTGATGTTATCAGGGCGCTTCAGCAGTTGAGTTCCTTATATTTCTTTGTGTTTAAATGATATCTGAAGAAGCTGTCATTTGTCAAGGTTTAATTGTCTCCGTTATTTTTTTTCTTGGTAAGTTTCCAGATCATTGCTGGGTAGATTTGATCCTGGGGCCAGCAAAGATATTGAGAGAACGGATCTGCCTCCAAGTTCCAGGTTCTAATCCAGATCTTCCACTTTTTGGCTATATGACCTTGAGTTAGTCACCTCTCTCTGAGCCTTACCTTTTTTCACTTACATAAAAGGGGAGAAGGAAGGAGGTTAGACGAGATGATTTTAAAGATCCTGTCCATCTCTGCCTCTCTATGATGAGTTTTAACCCTGAGATTATAATAGAATGTCTCATGGTTTTGGTCCCAAATATTCTTTTTTTTGGAGGGGGGGGGAAGCAGGGAAAAGTTTATTAGAATATAAGATCAGAAAGGAAGAATAGTATGAAAGTTCTCTTTACAGAGAGGGGGCATTTGAAAGTGAATGCCCCCTGGTCCCAAATATTCTTAAAGTTATCTCAGTATAGGGGCACCTGAGTGGCTCAGTCAGTTAAGTGTCCGACTTTGGCTCAGGTCATGATCTCACAGTTCATAAGTTCAAGCCCCACATTGGGCTCTGTGCTGACAGCTCAAAACCTGGAGCCTGCTTTGGATTCTGTGTCTCTCTCTGCCCCTTCCCCGCTCACACTCTGTCTCTGTCTCTCAAAAATAAACGTTAAAAAACTGTTTTAAGTTATCTCAGTATAACTGGAAAATTTTATTGTTGAATAATACCTCAGAGTCTACCGCCTGACTTCCTCCTGCACTACCCCCACTAGGTAGTCACCCAGTACCTACTAACACCTCAGAGACAAGAAGCCTCCCAAAGCAGCCCATTTCCCTTTAGTCAAAAAGAGCATTTAAAAGACGTTTCTTCACCGAAGTGAAATCTGTCACCCTGTAACTTCCACCCAGAGTTCCACGCTCTGAGTCACTTTGCAAAGGGCATGTAAAAGGCACTACTCTCTTGTTCCCTTCAGTGCCCCCTGGGCAGCCTCAATGAAAGCGCTTCCAATTCCTGACACGGATTTTTTTTGTTGTTTTTTTTTTTTGAAGACACTGATCTTGGGGGAGGGAGTCTCCCCCTTCCTCTTTGAGACCTCAGAACCTGGAAAAGGGTGAGCACTTCTTTACTCAAAGCTGCAGTGATAAATGCGAACTATATAGAATAAGGAGTGTGGAAAGTCAAATATTGAATCCCTTTGCTTTGTTCTTTTGCCCTGAGTGTAAGTCTGAAGCCTCACTGCCCTGACCTATACCTTGTGGTTGTCCTGTCCTTTTCTAATATTAGCCTTTCTCTCCCTTCTCATAGTCTCTCTTTCCTTTTCATAGCCCTGTCCTCGGAGTCCCTGCATCACCCCACCCCATTTTGCTGAGTTACCAACACTCTCACCAGAAATCTCCGGGTCTAAGTCCCTTCTAGTGCTTGTAAATTACTCAGCCTCTGGCATCTCACTCTCCTCTCTCCACTTTCTGCCACTGGGTACAGAGGAGAGGTGGTTCTGAGACC